TATCCCCCACCTTTTTTAATATACATGTAGTTGGTGCTTAAAATTCATATTTCAAGAGTCCCTCCCCATCTTTGTCCCTCTTTCTCTCCCTCTTTCCCTCCCTCTTTCCCTCCCTTTCTGGATTTTATCAATACCTGTACTCCTGTAAAAATCCTCTTCATCTGTAAATTTGTTTTCTTTCTATTTTTATGTAGGACTTTATTTTTTATTCTTATGTAAAACATTATTTTCTTGGTAGATACCGTCTTCCTCTACATGAAATTTCTAAACTGTTCAGGTCTTTCTGATTCTTCTGAAAGGGTTAATGGTTGGCTCAGCTTGCTTTGCTCTTCACTGAATATCTCACCTAATAAATTTTGGAATAATTTAGTTGTATGTTTTTTAAAAATTAAATGTTCGATTAGTTTCAGTTCAACAAACATATGTTGAACTCATCAGGTATTCGTTGGTCTAGGTGTTATAGAGGGTACAGGGAATGCCTTGTTCATATGTCTCATTCAATCACCTTTTTTTTTTTTTTAAGTATCTACTAAAGGACTAAATTTTGAACTTGAGATTACAATTCAAGAATCTATTAGTCAAGGTACCTCTCTTAAAGATGCACAATCAACTAAAAGTGATAAATCAATGCAGGAATTTTAGTGGTCTGTATGTATAACTGTATATTATGGTGGTCTTAAGAAAAAATGCTTCATCAAACATTTTTGGATCTGGAAAAACTTCACATCAGAGGAGACTATTAAGGTTGAGTAGGGGCTCTAAGTCTATGAGAAAGACAGGAAACTCACTGGGGTTTGGTTATGTTTTGTTACAGGCTATTTTTGTGAGAAACATCCTCTAAATTGTGTTTGTTACTCTCAGCTAACCCCACTCATTGTGTGCATCCCAAATCTCCCATTCTTCTGCTCAATTTAGGAGCCTTAGGATCAGTAGAATAACTTCTGAAGATAGATGTGGTGGTAGTATGGGCTCACTTCGGGGACCCAGTTATTACATTAATGAATATTCTACATTTCCAAGTAGGAATACAAACGTTAATGCATAAAAATAATCTCATGATGCTAGGACTCGTATAATTCTTGTAAAAATGTGTAGTGCTTGAGGGTTTCCTGAGTATCTTAAGTGCTGTTTCTGGTAGATATTAGCACAAGAATTAACACTGAATAATTTTATGTGGGAGATTTGCAGTTAATTTTTTCAAAGTGATCATACTGTATTATCTGGCTTTACTTTTTTTTTATAAGACCAGGTCTATGCTTAATCAGGTGTCTAGGAAAAAGTCCTTTTGCTTCTCTGTGCCTCTGCATTGTTTTTCATTAAACAAGAAGATTCTTATTACTACTAGTAATAACACTAATTGTACCTCACTGGGTTGCAGTGAAGAATTACATCATTTTTCTGTGAGAAAGGGCATGTATATAGCTGGTAACTATTGTTGATGTAAGATGTAACTTTTGAGTGACCAGATTGGCAGCTACTTTGTCAAGGTGAGTTCAACTTAATTAATTCTTACCTTGTTTTCAAAGCTTTTTGAGTTTGAAACCTTTTTATTTTATTTATTTATTTATTGATTGATTGAGAGAGAGAGAGAGAGAATTTTTAATATTTTTTTAGTTTTCGGTGGACACAACATCTTTATTTTATTTTTATGTGGTGCTGAGGATCGAACCCAACGTCCCATGCATGCCAGGTGAGCACGTTACCACTTGAGCCACAACCCCAGCCCTGAAACCTGTTTAGTTTCATGTCTTACTCTTCTCTGATTACCCCAAAGTGCATGTTAGAAGGCACTGTAATATTGCTCAGTGAGTACTTGGTGATGGCACATAAATACATATATGTATTTCTCTCTCTCTCTCTCTCTCTCTCTCTCTCTCAAACACACACACACACACACACACACACACACACATACACACACACACCTTTTAAGGTTCAGTGTTGAAGTTGGACCATGAACTTATCTTTCCATTTGGGATTCCTGAAGTTTCTCATTTAATTTCTAGATTAAAAGTCCCATTGATAGAACCCTTATAAATATCACATTAAGAAGTTGAACATTACCTTTAGGCCAAAGCAATTTACGTGTTAAAAATTTGATTAATTTTAACACAATCAGCCAGTGTGTCAGATGATTTCAGTGCCTCTGATCGATGCTGACAGGTGAGGAAATTAAAATCAGGGAGGGAAGCAATTAAATACTGACAAACATTACTTTAATGAGACAACCAAATCATTCATAAGCTATGGAATATGTTGTATTCTTGATAAGTATCTTAGGGAGGCAGGTGAGAGAGTGCATTTAAAAATGTTCTTCCTTTGGGATTTGAGGACTAGAGTGGAGGACATTCCATATTTTCTTATAATGCCTGTGTATTAACCGAATATTTGCCTGTTTATTAACCTAAAATTTCGATTGCTTCTGTGGGGTCAGACTTCCAGGTTTAAAATTATGGCACTATCTAATTTAAACAAATCTTAGACCAAGTAATTCTCCTGGTACTACTTCCATGGGAAACATAGGAAAATGCACAAAAGCTAGACAAAATAATTATTGGTCTTTCCACCGTGGTTTAGTGATAACATGGTCAAGACCTACGATGAGAGAAACACAAAAATGTACATTTCATACAACTTAGATTCAAAATATTTGGGAATTTTAGGGCTAAAACCAGAACACAGGTCCTTCATTTTCCACCCCACTATTGTATTCATATTAATACCCCACCAAGGAAGAACATCTGAGATAGCAGAGTTAGAAGGTTGCCAGTTTATTGGCTGTAATGGAAGTTTTTACAGGGCTCTGTCTTATTGCTCAGCTATGTTACAGCACTTAAATATATCACACATCATGAATTATCTTTATGCTGGTGTAATGCCACTTAGACCTTTTGTTCATTATATTAGGATCATCAGGCTAAAGGTTATGCTGCAAAAAACTTGTCTTTCATGGGGTGTGGTGATCGATTCAAGATACCATAGTTTGTGAAAAACAGGTCTCTCTGCTTTCTACACTTACCATGTTCTTCATTTCCTTTCTCCTTTTTCTTTACTCCCTGTCATTTTTCTTGCTTCTCTCTTTCTCTCTTTTGTCTGAGCTTTATGTATTATGCCCTTTGTTTTATAAAATACAACAGATATTATTAATAATCTTCTAGCAGTCTCAACTAAGGTTTCATGAGTTTTGCTTTGCATGGATTCCAATTAATAGGTTGAACTTTTGCAAGTTTGATTATTTTTGGCTGAAATCACTTCTGGAGGTGAGATTATTTTCCTTGGATAGGAAGGTGATTTGATAAGGGCTGCAGCCATGCCAGGTCTGGTCAGCAGTTCTATAGTGTACAGAGGCAGCTGAGGGTATCTGACTTTATTTCTGAGAGGATAGGTTGGGATTTGCCAATTGTCCCAGATGTTTTTATGGGTTATGGAGAATTTTATCACATTATGAAATACCCAGGAGCTACTGAGGACACATGAGGCTGAAACCGTGTGAAGAGGGCTGGAGAAGTTCATTGCTGGGAGACTTGAGCATTTCCCCTACTTAAGATGTGATTTATTGATGGAGGCCTTCATAAAACTCACTGGTGAGACTCTTGTTGTTTTATGACTTGTGTTTCGACACTTTGCCTGAGATGTTGCATCTGTGAAACTTTACTGGGGAGATCTGAGAAAGTGGTTATGGTAACCCTGCTTCGATCCCTCCTTGTGTCCCAGCTTAGTAATGTGTCACCTTCTGGCTGGTCCACAGATGTACAATTGGGGTAATAAGGTCTCACTGGTGTTACATAGTAAGGATGATTTGATTCATAAGGACCTTATACAATATTTACCCAACTTTAAAAAACTTTAAAGATGATTACTGTTTAGCTTCTGGTAGCAGATTATGAGGTTTTTTTTTACAGGATATCTTATCAAACATATTCTTTTCTTAATCATGAATATTTTAGGAAAATTGGACATTTTAATAAAACTTCCCAGAAGTCTTATGCTTTTCAATAAATTGATCTGTTCAACTTTGTTCTTGACATTCTGTTGGAGTCTCCATCTCTGAACCTAAGGCAAAGTTATAGGCACAAATATTAATATGATGTGTGATTCATCAATGGGTCTTTCATCTGAAGCTGTGACTCTTGCTTTTTAGGGGTTGAGGGGACATTTGATTTGTTTGTTTGTTTTGGATGTTTTGTCTTTCAGAACAAAAAATTTTTGTGCTTTTTGTTGTTAGATGAGGTCATGTGAAATTGATAGAAATATGATATGTTTAAAAACACTAGGCGCGCTTGAATTCAAGAAATACCCAACCCAGAGACAATTTCCATCATTGTGTGCTTATAACATTATATTTTAATCATATAAACATTGGAAAAATGTTATCATTTTGTATACTACCTTTATAGATAAGGAATAATGGAGGAAAGCTTTCCAGAAAAAGTTTAACACAGGACAATTTCGTCTGTGAATTACATATTATAAACCTAATTTACATGGGAGGACATTGATGCTCAGTGCTATACCAAGCCTTATGGACCAAATCAATGAGTTGTTTGGATTTTTCCTATCCACATAACATAGTGGAAGCTAAGATTTTTGGAAAAGATATATCACTGAACCAGCAAGCAGAACCCCTGGTTTCAGATTCCCACTCTGCCATGTTCTAAGTACTGTGCAGTGGTGGGTAAGTTAACGCACTTTTTCTGAACTTAAGTTTTCATATCTGTAAATGTTGTGCAGTAATGGCCATTTCACACACTATTTGTGAAGTTAATTATGTGAGAGATGTTAGTTTCCTCTCCTCCTTTCTATCCCTTCTTGTTCCCTCATTTAGAATAGAATAATCCCTTTGTGTTTCTTCATTAGTTGCTGTGGTGTGAAATGAGAAAATGAATGTGGAAATGTTTTGCACAACAAGAAACTGCTGTATAGATACGAGAGGTTATGTTTATTGATGAAGAGAAATATACTTAGAGCTCAAGAGTAACTTCTACCTACTTCATTGACAGGCACTAGCACTTCGGTTGGCTGAACCTCCTGTCTGCTGTTTGCTCCAAGAGTCACCTGCTTGAGGTAAGAGAGGCATGGTGACTTCTTGCTCAGAAAACAAAGGCTCAGAGGCATCAAGGCCAATAATGCACAAGGTTGATGTCCAAGACAGTGACCTGCCTTCCATTTATGTCTTCCTAATTAATTTTCTTTTAAAATTTCTACAACTTAAGGTTCAATACTAAAAGCATGATTATCTGGACAGTATAAAAGATTCAGATTTAATGAGTATTTAATTATGTGTAATATGTTGTGTACTAGAATGTTCTTATTGTTTTATGGCATCTGCAGTTAGTATGTGGCAGGAGAACTTTTCACTTAGTCTCCTCGCCCTTCATCAAATGTATTTTTCACAATATTACGATGCTATAATTACCTGTCTCTGATGGGACCAAAGAATATTCTATCTGCCCAACAAATCATCTCAAAAAATATCCAATGTTGCAATAACAACAGCAACAAAATCCCAAGCACACAGATTATGAGTTTTGAAGCCCAGCGCCCATTAAATTGCATACCACTTTACTGGGGACCCACGTAAGGGAGGTAGGCCTTTGGCAGATGAATACATTGATCCTGAGACTGCCCAGAAATGGAAATCAGTGTCAGGAAATCATTTTTAAAGAAGTGTCATAGTTGTATGATTTGTAGTGTGATTTTTTTTTCTCTTGCAGCTAACCTGCTTATAGCTGCACCTCCTAGTAAGCTCTCCTGTGTAATTTTTTTTAGAAGTCTTAGCTAAAGAAAAGGAGAAGTAGTCAACAGGATGTTCCTTAATGTAGTTGTGTTAGAATGAACTTGGTGGAAGATGTGATATCATCATTTCATGTTCTGTAAAGATTAGTTCTCCTTAATATGTTGTTCATATCTTGGATATATATCATTCCATGACCTTGAACTACAAATATATGAGTTTAGTTGCATAGGCCTTTGGAAAATCTGAGGTTGGTTGGTTTTTCCCCAATTGTAGGACTTAGCAATTTGGAATTGAGTGGAAATTATGGTGTTAAGTTAATGCAATTTTCAAAACTAACATTCATTATGTATTTTAAAAAAAGAACATACCATATACAAACAGGTGGATGATGTACGGACTGGGAAACTTCTATAATTAAATCGGAGATAGCACCTACTTGTGGTTTTAGATTTTTTATTCCCTCATGCCTACCAAAGAGAGTGTTATTAAGGAAAAGATATAGAAAAAAATTAAAGAATATTTTTGCCCAATCTTTTAGTCTCAGTGTAATCCACAAAATGTCCCTGCAAAAACTCCTTTTCAATGTATTATTTCCACAGACAAATATATCAGAAAAGAATGTCCTGTAGGCATCTCTGTTCACAGTTTTGATAGCTCTCACAGGCAGAGCTTGTTCATTTAGAAACTGCAGAACCTTCCTCCAGATGCTAGCTGTTAAATGTGAATAGGATAAACTTTGAAAAATGGTTAACTCTGTCCCCTTTCTCCACTGAAATCCATCTTGAAACTACATAAGGTGTCTTAAGCCATGAAATACTCCAAAATCTGCTTGAAGGAGAGGAATTTTGTCTGTCTGGTCAACCCTCCACTCACCCATTTATCTATCTGCCCATGAATCTCAAATGTATCTATTGGAGGTAGGAGCTGGTCAGGAAGGAAGGATGGAAACTTCTCAAATAGGCTGAGAAAGGTGGGGAGGTAAATGTTCTGGTGGTAATTAATATTATCAGTGGCAGTCATGAAGAAACAATAACGGTTTAAATAAATCATTAGATCTGACAGTAGAGGTGTCAACAGGTAACCACTTAATGAGTATAATCATTGTTTTTCTCTGTTTTCAGCGTTGATCTACTAACTTCGTCGTTTGTGTTCCCTGTCCCATTTCCAAACCAAATCTATTTAAAGCTGTACTCCATGGAATCTGAAATGGTATACCCTGTTTACTATTTAGAGTTGATACCTCATGTTCTTTAATAGGCAAGATCTGTTCTAGAACAAGGACAGGCTTCTGGACTCCTCTAGAATGATGATTTTCCCCTTATCTCCACAGGGTGATTCATTAACAAGGATGAATAATAGCTAATTAATTCTCATGTGCCTCTCTAGATTACCAGAGTGAATTGTTTATTATAGTTTTGGGGAAACAGCCCTAGTCTGCCTTAAAGACAATTATTTACTTCTTAATTTATTTTGAAGGGAAGGCAGGGGCAGTAGTTAGAAATGAACTTACCTTGGATAGAATCTCATTGTTTTTGAGATTGAATCAATGTTTTATGTGTCAGAAACCCTGAGAAGCGGCTTCTAATCTAAGCCCTGTTGTCAATGATGGTCTCCTTGGGCAGGTCATCCTCCCCGTCTGAAGTCTGTTTCAGCATCTAACAATATACAGAGCTGATCCACTTGACCATGGCATTTCTTCTAGTTAAATGTTCTATTCTCTATTATTTTATTTCCTTGTCAGTCCCTTCTCCCTTCTGCTGCCACGTTTCCAAAATCCAATGACTATTCCTGGGCTCTGTGTGAAAACATGCTTCTGTTTTAAGTTTTATTTCTTTGATGAAGTGTATATGTCCCTTCATTTGTTGTTCATACCCTGGTTGTCCTCTAGTTCCAGTGTCAGCTAATTTCAAGCTAGAAAGGAGAATAAAACTCACCTTTCCCTCTCTTGATATTACTCTAGGCCTTGTTTTTAGAGGACCTGGTACCAACACTGCTATTAACACTTTTAGGAGGAGGGGGTTCCTCTTCAGTTGTTTCACTATTCTAGGGTGAATAGTTGGACCTATAAGGAAGTGTCAAAACATTAAAGCCAGAGAGGACTTCAAGACTCAATCTAACCAATTTTTCCATTTCAGAAGAGGAGATTTTGGGGTCAGGGCGAGAATCCAATTTGTCTAAAGGGTGGTTGCCAGTCCTGGGCTGTGGTTTCTTCTTTTCACTTCATAATTGTATCTTTGCTTTAGTTGAGAAATCTCTTCCTTTACGTTGCTCTTTCTCTTCCCAATATTTAAAGGGTCATGTCTTTCAGACAAAACCAATCTCAAGGTTAATGTGAGATGTCCTTTGAAGCATAAATGGACTTGAAGCATCTTCATTCATTCCATACAGCTGAGGCACAGAGATATGGGGCTGGCTTTTGCACTCTGTGTTGATTAGAACAATGTGGGTCCCCTTGTAGACCTTCCTTTAGGAGGTTATTTGGCTCTGACCTCACAGACATCTCCGCCACTTTCCTCCTGTCCTTTTCTGATCCAATGTATTATACGAAAGCTGAGGATGAACTGTCAGATGGCTATGGACTGCACGTCTTTGAAAATATTAATAAAAAGAAGACAGATGAGAGATTGATATACAAGAAGACAGGAGAGTAAGACCCACACATTGATATGGAATTCAGTGCCAGTACTGCCAATTGTTGGGGCCATCCAGGATTTATAGTAGTGTATCACACTTTTCACACCTTCTTGTTGCCTTGGGCTGAGAAGCAGCTGGTAAATTGTTATCAAAACTAAACCTTTATTTTCATGGGACTTCAAGGTCCAGAGAAAAGAATAGTAATTATTCATAAAGTAAAGATTACTGGATCTGATCACATATATGAACCACATGGTACAGAGTCTAAGGTTCAAAACTTGGCTTTAATTAATTTGCTGTGACTTCAGTGAAGGCCTGGCCTTTCTCTGAGCCTCACTTTCTCCATCTGTGGTTTGGGTGTTGGTGGGTGGAGGAGAGGATGTCAAAGGTCATCCAAGCTCTGATTTTCATGTGTCTCAGATGCCTTTAAGCCCTCATTAGCAAGGTTGCAACCATGCCATGTCTTGAATTGGAAGAGTGTGTGAATTAGACGTGGTTCGGTTCTCATTAGAGCTTCTATTGCCCATTTTTGCATCCATCAGACTTGTTAGTAAATAAACTTTTGTCTTCTAGTTGATAGGCTCCTTCCTGCTTGTCTAAGGCAGTAGTTTCTGATTTCTGTGTGTGTGTACACATGCCTACACACACTTGTGTTTGGGGTAGGGGGAACATTATGGAAGTTTGGGATACTCAGATGAACCTGTGAACTATCTTAAAAAAAAAAAAACAACAAAACCCCAGTGTATCTGCAAAGAATACTAGCTACAATTCCAGGAGTTTTATAGCTAACTCTGAAGGCCATACTTGAGTTCTAGGGTAGGCAAAAAATGTTTTCTCCGTGGGAAGTCTGAGATGACATGTGGTTGGCACTCATTTCCTTTAGCTGTTGGATTTTTCCCACAGTTCACCTATTGTTCTGCTCTGGTTCTCAGTCTGGCTTAGAATGACTCTGGACATTTACACATTGTCAACTGTTAAGTGATATTTTCATACAGAAAATCTTACTGATTCATTAATTAATTCATTCTTTCACTCAAATGCACTTTGAACCCAGAATCTGTTAAGTGTTAGTTACTTTTAATACCTTACATTATTTTATTTAAGTTTATAAAATGGAAAGTTATTTCCTCCTTTTTTTTTGTGCAAGGAAACCAAACTCAGGTTGAATAATTGTTCACAGTTGTACAGTTAATAAAGTGCAAAGTTTGAGTTTAAATCTAGATCTGCTCCAAAATACGTGACTGTCTTCAGAGATAACACTGAATATGAATAAGGACGATGAAGCAAGTTCATAAACCATGGAAATCTCTGGTAGAAAATGGTAAATGGGCCCCAGAGGAATACAGTGATTGTGTGCTGTGGGAGTTTGGTGAGGGACAATATCACACTTTCTGAATCACTTATATGATAATTCAGTAATTAAATTCTTCTCCATACCTTAAGGCCAAATAAAAAAAAAAAACTTCAAACAGTTATATAAATGCACTATAAACAACTCATAGTTTCTCCTTATTTTTCAAACTTCCATCAGGTTAGTTGCCTCAGTAAGTGGGATGAGTAGACAAAGGATAATTGGGATCTTAGTGCCCTGATCATACTTGGGAGTTATTGACGGAATTGGAATTTCAGGGCTCTGGGGAATCTGTTGTTGTTTTTTCCCTGTTATATTGAGCGTGGGACTTTAACAGAGATA